AAGAACATATTTTGGATTTTGTTTTGGCATGGACTTTGATTGTAACAGTTAATCAATTTTTTTTTTTCTATATTCATTTAATTTTTTGCACTGTTATTGATTATAGTTGTTCTGGTGATTTCACTTTGTGAACAGCAGCATTAATTGTCATATATTGAGTTTTTATGTTTTGTCACATAAGCGCAGGTGATTTATTGTGCTTGATCAAACATTTAACCATGACATGAGTTACAGAACAATACGGCTTTTCTAAATAGAAAAAACAGCAGAAGCTGTTTTCCTTCAAACGTTCTCTTTGATTGCAACTCCACGTGGCCTTGTCTGAAGGGAGTGGAGAAAGAGAGCGATAAAGAGTCTCTCCTCTGAATCATTCAGATATGTAATTTTAGTTTGCACTGTTAAGTGCTATAAACAAAATCAACCTACTGGCATGACAATAAAATGCAGAGGTTTCCAAATATTTCCACAAAAAATACCCCAAGGTGTTCCACGTGACCTTTGAGGAAAAACAGAGGGGAGTCCTGGTGGCTTTCCATAAACTTTCTTCTTTCATATGCTCTCTCGAGATTGCGAACCCCACAGGTTGGTACTTAATGGGGAAACTCTAGATTTTTACAAATTAGACATTGGGTGACCTCGACTCTCACTGACAAAGATCTGACTCAATTACTTTATTTGAACACAAATGCCATTGGATGCCCCTTTCTCCCAAACATATTTCTATCCTTTACTCACAATTAATCTTCAGCACCAAAACAATCACACCTATGATTCCAGGTGGGAAAGGGACCTTAAAAGCACCAAAGACATGGGCAATTGGTTGCAGATATGGACAACCCTGACATCTTGCTCTATAAACATCCTCACAATGGAATCAGCTTTTAAAACTGTTACAAGAGGGTACTTGGTCCCGGCCCATCTAGCGCACCTCCAGAGACTGCTTCCATGGCTGTACTACCACAGGAGACGTCCTACACACATGGTGGTCATGCCCTATGCTCTCCCGGTTCTGGTCAAAGGTCCTTAAACTCTTACACTCCCTACTAATTTGTCCTTTTCCTAGAGATCCTTGGTACATCCTTCTCCACCTGAAACCCCCAGGTCTTTCCAAACACCAATTCAAGTTGGCTATGTATGTATTATTGGCGGCCAAACAAACTATAGCAAAGGCCTGGAAACAACAATTCATATCTTTTACGGAAGTCCATCGTCGCATAGACTTTTTCCTGGTAAATGAAAAACTCTCCAACATGACCATCTGGCCATATCAATAGATAATTTCATTTCACTTTAACTCTGGTGGCCCCACAACCCAGACCCAGGCGCTTTTGACTTTCTCTTCTAGATCTTTTCTTGTCTCTTTCTCCTTCTCATCTCTTTCTTTTCCCCCTTTTTTTATATATTTTATTGGCTCTTCTGCAGGGATGATTCATGATCTGCTCTATATTTTTTGATTCAAATGCATAGTTTATGCAGTTCAAATTTTGTTATTTTTTCACTGTTGTCAGCTGTTCGGCAATGGGTGTATAGTCTTCCTGCGCCCTTCTGCTGCAGTACTAACGTAATGTGTTTTGTTGTTTCAGTTATCTTTCCTTTGACATACAACTTACTTGTTTTTACCTATGGATATATGTATTAATGCATGACCGCAATTGACTTTTACAGTCAATTTCTACTTCATGGTTTATGTACACGATAGGGGATGTATTTGTATAATTTAAACCAAAATTATTCAATAAACATTTATTGAAAGGAAAAAATGCAGAGGTTTGTATTTTTTTTAGTCCTATACATAATAATAAAGGTAATATAAAAACACAGTACTGTATATTCCATTAATGATACATCCAGTGTAATAAATAGTATACAAATCATAATTCGAATCCCAAATTGGGTTAAAAAAGTGCTGACTATTAATTTCATTTAATACAATGTTAATGCATTAGCATTTATTTTAAACCTTTTATCATTGCTATTTTTCACCTTATTACCACCATTTAATTTCTTTGAAGAGAAATGTTACTGAGAAATTAAATACTGCATTATTTTAGCTTGTAAATCCATTGAGAATGTGTGTTGTTTTCTGCTGACTATGACTTAGGGATATTACAGATGGTATTGGATAAAATTTACCACACATCTATTGATGAGATTGCATGACTGTGCAAGTGTGTTGCTGGCTTCTATTCTTCGATGTTACGTCTCTGAAACTAAAGCTGACATTTAAAATAAGTCACTTTAGTCCTACTCCTTATCTGGCTGCCGGCACCACTTGCTGTTAGGTACATTGTATTGATTGGCCATTTGTTATGGTCATTTTTTACTGTGTTCATGAATGTAAATGAGTAATTCTGTTCAAAGGCTTTGAAGAACACCAAACAAACAAATATATATATATATATATATATATATATATATATATATATTCTGTATAATTATAGCTACACAGTATATACTTTTATACTTTTCAATATAATATATATATACACAGTGGGGATCCCCTGCAGATTTTGTAAGTTTGCCCACTTACAAAGGAATGAAGGGTCTATCATTTTTTTTTTATAATTATGTTTTTATTGAGATTTTGAACAAGGAAAACTGACAACACAGACAGTTAGTCAAGACATATAGAAGGTGATTGTAACATTGTAAAACAATAAGAAATATCCAGAAAAAAGCAATAAAAAAACAGTATACCAGACATTAGGAATCACATAAGTCTAAGAACCTTATTAGAACTAAGGGCAAGGAACAAGACAAAGAAAGAAATAAGTAGACTTATCAATGTAAAGGAGGGATACAAATATAATGTCATAGGAGAACAACAGGTTAGCTGTTGAAATCTGGTTGTCAGATTGGGTTAATGAAAGGTAGAACGATCCCATGGTTCCCAAACAGCTTCAAATAGAGGGAATAGATTATCATGTAGAGCAGTCAAGTATTCCATTCTGCTAACCTCACCAATGATTTTTATCAATTCCAACTGGGAGGGAGGCACAGTGGATAACCAATGCATGGGTATGGTTCTCCTGGCTGCTGTTAAGACATGAGAGGACAATTTCTTGGCTGGCTTGGAAAGGCTTGTAAAGGGTAGCCCTAGTAAAAAATGGAGGGGGTCAAATGGAATGAGAGCTTCAAAAGAAGCCTTAAAAGATTTAGAACTTCCCTCCAAAAAGGTGCAATGTGTTTGCATAGCCAGAAAATGTAAAAGAAGGATCCATTTTCCCTACCACATCGTCAGCAGACAGGAGAAACATTTAGGGTACAAGCATGAAGGACCTCTGGGGTTTTGTACCAAAACATTAGAACCTTATAAGTATATTCCCTATACACTACACATCTAGAAGACCTGGAGGTGGCCTTCAAAATCTTACTCCAGCGTTCCAGAGGGATAGCACACTGGAGGGCCTGGGACCATTTCTTCATATACAGTAGAGATATCCATTGTCAGGGGGGAAGTGTATTGTAATCATTTATAAATGGAGGAGATTACAGAGTGCAGATGCAGTAAGAATGAGTAGGCTTCTTTAGAGTTAAGGAAGGGGTCCTGGTGGAAAAAAAAAGTTGTATCTGCAAGTAAATGTAGTATTGTTGAAGGTTTGCAACTCAGCAAAGGATTTGCTTCTGGACCTGGATTTACCAAATGTCTTAACTGAAATAGGTTCGCTTTATCCCAGGGGTTGATATGGCCAGGGGTTAAACTATCCGTAAGATTTGGATTAAAGGCAAATTTGTCTTTATTATTTTCACTTAAATGTAACAGAACAAAGCATGAGAAATAATAATAACATGTACAAGTAAATGGACAGAAAAACATCACAGGTGTGGCTATGATCCGTGTGGATGGACCAAAATGATTCTATACAACAGCAAGAGAGAGGGATGAATAACCCATATTACGGAGATATAACAAAACATAGTTCCGGGGGGGGGTGTATCCCCGGGCGAGATGTATGGAACAAAATGAGAGAACTTCGTATAACCAAGAGCAAACACCCAAACTGAAAAAAAGGAGAAAAAAACATAAAAAAAAAAGAGAGAAAAAAGAAGCCAGTGGTAAAGATAGTGAAGGAGGAAAAGAAAGAGGTTTGGGAGACGGAAACGGCAAAAAGCAAAATCAAGGTGGCCCCCCCACTTGTATCCCACCAGAGTGACCCTGCTTTCCGCACCCTGGCGTGGGCCGCAGGGCCCAACCGGCGGACATGCTGAACTGAAAACGAATCAGAGGAGCAAGGCTCAACTCCAGTAGGGCATAACAGGGGAACACATATCTTGGAGAGTCAAAGAGGAAGAGAGATGGAGCCAGACCGACCACAGTAACTTATGTTTATCATAGGTATCACTGGCATATGCCAGCATTTCCTCCATACGCATGGTATCATTAAGCACAGAAACCAACATCGGAAGGAGTGGGGGAGTGGCCAAATGAGGGGTATCAATTAGCGGGCCGCAGATAGAAAGACATGCAACAGACTTTTCTTCTGTGCTGCCAGTGAGCCCGGTAACATAGAGAGGAGAGCAATTTCCAGTGAAGGGGCCAAGGACTCACCATAGATCCTGTCATATACAGCAAAGACCTGTCACCAGAAGGGTTGTATTTGATCACAATCCCACCAAGTATGAAGCTGTGTATCAACAGTTGTATTACAGCGCCAGCAGAGATTAGGTGTAGAATGAAAAATTTTGTGTAGGGAGAGGGGGTCCTATCGGGAAAGAAGCTTAAAGTTCTTTTCTTGTGAAAAGTAAGAAATAGACGATTTATGAGTGAAGTGGAATGATGTGGACCAATCCTCAGCCAATATGTCTTTACTTAGGAGTATAAGTGCTTGCAAAATGAGGATAGATGTAAAGTGTCAGGAATGGACTGGCCAGCAATGGTGGGACTCACCTGCCTTTTGATCTGCAATACCAGGGCTGGCCAGCGGGTGCTCCCAGCAATCAGAGACTCAACCTTTCAGCCAGCTAACACCTGGAACTGATGATACTGGTGTATTTAAGGGATGGCCAGACTTGCAGACTCTGCCTTGGTGTTGTGTTTGTCCTGGGCCCTGTATCTGTCCTGCATCCTGTTTCTGTTCCTTTGCTGACCCTGCCTGATCTGAACCGCTGCTGACTTCTGCTGCTCTGATCCCGGCTCGCTCCTGACCATCCCTCTGCCTGACCCTCTGTACCACGCTGCTTGCTACCTGTTCTGATCCCTGGCTTGTGACCCTGACCATCCCTCTGCCTGACCCTCTGTACTACGCTGCTAGCTACCTGCTGAACCTGGCCTGTGACCCCGACCCATCTCCGCTTGCTCCCCCTGTACCTACCTGCCCTATTGATATTGACCCGGCCTGCCTGACGACGCTTGCTTGTATGTACTGTTATCTGTGGGTGGTTGGTTTGGTTTGTTTGCACTGTATTATGTTTTAGTATTGCACTGCGTTTATGTTTGTATGGTTAGTGTTAATAAATTATATTGTTTATCACATATCTGAAGTCTGCGTTTCCCTGCGTCAGTCACACACCTCTGGTCACACCTGGGAGCCCTGACATTACACCAAGGCACAATCCTGACCAGAAGTGGCTGCACAGGGAAGCCATCTTGGCTTGTTGCTGGGAAGGATGGATCTGGATGAGGTTGAGTATTTATCTCTGCTAGTGCTTGATGACAGAAAATATGCTTATCAGACTCTGAAGGAGTATCCCCGGGATGAACTGCTAGAATGTATACGGCTCGCTCATGTTCTAGTAGATCAGGGCACAGATTTCTCTATGGTGCAGCCATTGATTAAGGTTTGTGTTGAGTTGGTTTCATCTGGTTCCCCCGAATGCAGGGATGATTTTTTGCCACCATTTAGTGCAGACCAGGTAGAGTCCCTGGTGTGGTTATTAGAGGATGATGTGGATTGCTTCTTGGAGCGTTATTCCACATGTTCACCACAGACGCTAAGAGATTGTATAAACGCAGTGCAGTCTTTGGTCAGACAGGCTTTGTGTAAGCTCAGCTTTGTTCAACCCATACTGCAGACATGGACAGACTTGTTGCACCCAGCCTCAGTCAGTTTACAAAGACCCAGTCCTGCTTCTAATCTATTTCCTCAAAGCTCTACTCCTGTATTCCCAACAACTCCCCCAGTTACAGCCCAGTATACCCTGCTATCTACCGCATGTCAGTACCCTGTTTCCCACTCGCTGCACCTATCCTGCCTTTAACCCTGTAAAAAAGCCCTCTGTAGCAACTGCTCCCTCTCCTGTTCCATCCTCCAGTTCTTCTCTGTCTCCAGCTGCTCCATTCGTTTGCAGACCTGCGTTTACTTGCAGTGCTCCAGTAGTTAAAACCAGAAAAAAGCGAAAATTCTTTCCAACCAATACCATCCTGCCAGTATCCAAACCGGTGAACCTGCCTTCCGTGGTTCAGCCTGAAGCCTCTACTCAGCCTGAATCCTCTACTCAGCCTGATGCCTGTACTCAGCCTGATGCCTGTACGCAGCCTGATGCCTCTCTTCTGCCTGAAGCCTCTACTCGGCCTGAAGCCTCTACTCGGCCTGATGCCTCTACTCGGCCTGAAGCCTCTACTCGGCCTGGAGCCTCTACTCGGCCTGGAGCCTCTACTCAGCCTGAAGCCTCTACTCAGCCTGAAGGCTCTACTCAGCCGGACGCCGGCATTCAGCCTGATGCCTCTACCCAGCATGATGAACTGATCCAGCCTGACGATCCTATTAGGCCAGTTGATTCGATGCCCGCTGTTGATCCAGATGATCCGGTGCCCGCTATCGTGCCAATTGACTCAGAGCCCGCTGTCGTACCTGGTGACCCGGTGCCCACTGCCTTGCCAGATGACGCGGTGCCCGCTGGCGAGCCAAATGACCTGATGCCTGGTGACCCAGGGCCCGCTGTCATACCTGGTGACCCGATGCCCGCTGTCGAGCCAGACGATCCAATGCCTGGTGACCCGGTGCCCACTGTCGTGCCTGTTGACTCGGAGCCCACTGCCTTGCCAGATGACGCGGTGCCCGCTGTCGAGCCAAATGACCTGATGCCTGGTGACCCGATGCCCGCTGTCCAGTCAGACGATCCAATGTCTGACCCAGTGCCCGCGGTCATACCAGTTGACTCGGAGCCCACTGCCTTACCAGATGACGCGGTGCCCGCTGTCGAGCCAAATGACCTGATGCCTGGTGACCCAGTGCCCGCTGTCATACCTGGTGACCCGATGCCTGCTGTCGAGCCAGACAATCCGGTACCTGATGACCCGGTGCCCACTGTCGTGCCTGTTGACTCGGAGCCCACTGCCTTGCCAGATGACGCGGTGCCCGCTGTCGAGCCAAATGACCTGATGCCTGGTGACCCAGTGCCCGCTGTCATACCTGGTGACCCGATGCCCGCTGTCGAGCCAGACAATCCGGTACCTGATGACCCCGGTGCCCACTGTCGTGCCTGTTGACTCGGAGCCCACTGCCTTGCCAGATGACGCGGTGCCCGCTGTCGAGCCAAATGACCTGATGCCTGGTGACCCAGTGCCCGCTGTCATACCTGGTGACCCGATGCCCGCTGTCGAGCCAGACAATCCGGTACCTGATGACCCGGTGCCCACTGTCGTGCCTGTTGACTCGGAGCCCACTGCCTTGCCAGATGACGCGGTGCCCGCTGTCGAGCCAAATGACCTGATGCCTGGTGACCCGATGCCCGCTGTCCAGTCAGACGATCCAATGTCTGACCCAGTGCCCGCGGTCATACCAGTTGACTCGGAGCCCACTGCCTTACCAGATGACGCGGTGCCCGCTGTCGAGCCAAATGACCTGATGCCTGGTGACCCAGTGCCCGCTGTCATACCTGGTGACCCGATGCCCGCTGTCGAGCCAGACAATCCGGTACCTGATGACCCGGTGCCCACTGTCGTGCCTGTTGACTCGGAGCCCACTGCCTTGCCAGATGACGCGGTGCCCGCTGTCGAGCCAAATGACCTGAGCCTGGTGACCCAGTGCCCGCTGTCATACCTGGTGACCCGATGCCCGCTGTCGAGCCAGACAATCCGGTACCTGATGACCCGGTGCCCACTGTCGTGCCTGTTGACTCGGAGCCCACTGCCTTGCCAGATGACGCGGTGCCCGCTGTCGAGCCAAATGACCTGATGCCTGGTGACCCAGTGCCCGCTGTCATACCTGGTGACCCGATGCCCGCTGTCGAGCCAGACAATCCGGTACCTGATGACCCGGTGCCCACTGTCGTGCCTGTTGACTCGGAGCCCACTGCCTTGCCAGATGACGCAGTGCCCGCTGTCGAGCCAAATGACCTGATGCCTGGTGACCCGATGCCCGCTGTCCGGCCAGACGATTCAATGTCTGACCCAGTGCCAGCGGTCATGCCAGTTGACTCGGAGCCCACTGTCGTGCCTGGTGACTCGGTGCCCGCCGCTTCGCCTGGGGGGGCCCGAGACCTGTCGCTCCGCCTGGGGGTCCGGCGCCCGCCGCTCCGCCTGGGGGTCCGGCGCCCGCCGCCCCGCCTGGGGCCTGAGACCTGTCGCTCCGCCTGAGGGCCCGAGACCTGTCGCTCCACCTGGGGGTCCGGCGCCCGCCGCTCCTCCTGAGGGCCCGAGACCTGTCGCTCCGCCTGGGGGTCCGGCGCCCGCCGCTCCGCCTGAGGGCCCGATACCTGTCGCTCCGCCTGGGGGTCCGGTGCCCGCCGCCCCGCCTGAGGGCCCGAGACCTGTCGCTCCGCCTGGGGGTCCGGCGCCCGCCGCTCCGCCTGAGGGCCCGAGACCTGTCGCTCCGCCTGGGGGTCCGGCGCCCGCCGCTCCGCCTGAGGGCCCGAGACCTGTCGCTCCACCTGGGGGTCCGGCGCCCGCCGCTCCGCCTGAGGGCCCGAGACCTGTCGCTCCACCTGGGGTCCGGCGCCCGCCGCTCCGCCTGAGGGCCCGAGACCTGTCGCTCCATCTGGGGGTCCGGCGCCCGCCGCTCCGCCTGGGGGCCCGATGCCTGTCGCCCCGCCTGGGGGCCCGGCCCCCCGCCCCGCCTGGGGGCCCGATGCCCGTCGCCCCACCTGGGGGCCCGATGCCGGTCGCCCCCGCCTGGGGCCCGATGCCTGTCGCCCCGCCTGGGGGCCCGATGCTTGTCGCCCCGCCTGGGGGCCCGATGCGGTCGCCCTGCCTGGGGGCCCGATGCCGGTCGCCCCGCCTGGGGGCCCGATGCCTGTCGCCCCGCCTGGGGGCCCGATGCCTGTCGCCCCGCCTGGGGGCCCGATGTGCCTGTCGCCCCGCTGCTTCCGCCTGGGGGCCCGATGTGCCTGTCGCCCCGCCTGGGGGCCCGATGTGCCTCTGCCGCCTGCCCGATGTGCCTCTGCCCGGAGTCCTGCCCGATGTGCCTCTGCCCGGAGTCCAGCCCGGATGTGCCTCTGCCCGGAGTTTAGCCCGATGTGCCCTGCCCGGTGTGCCTCTGCCCTGGGGATGTGCCTCTGCCCGGTGTGCCTGAGGTCCGCTCCGCCCCGATGTGCCTCTGCCCCGCCTGGGGGCCCGAGATGTGCCTCTGCACCTGGGGGTCCAGCCCGATGTGCCTCTGCCCCTGAGGTTTAGCCCTGATGTGGCTCCACCTGGTGTGCCTCTGCCCGGTGTGCCTCTGCCCCCGAGTGCCTGTGCCCGATGTGCCTCTGCCCGCCGTCCGCCTGGGGGCCCGCCTGTGCCTCTGCCCGGAGCCCCGCCTGGGGGCCCGATGTGCCCTGCCGCCCCACCTGGGGGCCCGATGCCTGTCGCCCCAGCCCGATGTGCCTCTGCCCGGAGTCCAGCCCGATGTGCCTCTGCCCGGTGTCCAGCCCGGTGTGCCGCTGCCCGGAGTCCTGCCCGGTGTGCCAGTCTTTGATATCCCGCCAGTTACCAGACCCGGGCGGTGGAACATTTTGCCCAGCTAGGACTGTTTGGAGCGTCCTGAGGCCGTTCCTTGAGGGGGGGGGTACTGTCAGGAATGGACTGGCCAGCAATGGTGGGACTCACCTGCCTTTTGATCTGCAGTACCAGGGCTGGCCAGCGGGTGCTCCCAGCAATCAGAGACTCAACCTTTCAGCCAGCTAACACCTGGAACTGATGATACTGGTGTATTTAAGGGATGGCCAGACTTGCAGACTCTGCCTTGGTGTTGTGTTTGTCCTGGGCCCTGTATCTGTCCTGCATCCTGTTTCTGTTCCTTTGCTGACCCTGCCTGATCTGAACCGCTGCTGACTTCTCCTGCTCTGATCCCGGCTCGCTCCTGACCATCCCTCTGCCTGACCCTCTGTACCACGCTGCTTGCTACCTGTTCTGATCCCTGGCTTGTGACCCTGACCATCCCTCTGCCTGACCCTCTGTACTACGCTGCTAGCTACCTGCTGAACCTGGCCTGTGACCCCGACCCATCTCCGCTTGCTCCCCCTGTACCTACCTGCCCTATTGATATTGACCCGGCCTGCCTGACGACGCTTGCTTGTATGTACTGTTATCTGTGGGTGGTTGGTTTGGTTTCTTTGCACTGTATTATGTTTTAGTATTGCACTGCGTTTATGTTTGTATGGTTAGTGTTAATAAATTATATTGTTTATCACATATTTGAAGTCTGCATTTCCCTGCGTCAGTCACACACCTCTGGTCACACCTGGGAGCCCTGACATAAAGTGGTCAACCAATCCCTAGGCCCACCCTGAAGGAGTGGAAGACCCAATTGGGGGCAGATAAAGTGTCAAACTACGGGCCAGGAGGTGCGTGTAAAGGGTCCGATAGTAAAAGAGCCCAACCCTTGAGGAAGAGCGGGGTTATTAAAATAGGGGTGATAAGGGAGAGGGATCAGAAGATAAAAGAGCAATGATACCACAACTGAATGACAGTTAAATTCAATGGGGACAGGCTGGGAAAACGCTGATAGTCCTGGCTATACCCCCATGGTAATGCCCGAAGATCAACCTGAGAAAGATCTTGTTCTATCATACAAGAGGCTTTACGGAAGGGTCTGGGAAACCAATCAAGCATCCGGACTAGTAATGTGGCTCTGTAATATAGCTCAAAGTCTGGTAAACCCACTCCGCCTCCGAGTTTTGGGTAAGTAAGTAACCTATATTTTAACCTTGAGAACCCACGGTGCCAAATAAATCTAATTGAAAGGGACCATAGAAAGAGGAAGAAACTCCTAGGGACAGTGATTGGTACAGTCTGAAAAACATATAGTAACTTAGGTAAGGTATCCATCTTGAGGGTGTTGATGCAGCCAAACCAGGGCAGCGCTGAAGCGGCCCATGAAGCCAGATCTTTTCAAATACGTGAAAGCAAGGGTAAGTAATTAAGGGAATATAGAGCATTAAGATTGGCAGAAATCATGACCACCAGGTACGTAACAGCCTTTGGTCACCATTGAAAAGAGAAAATAGGGTGTAGGCTCGCCAACACATGAGCAGGTAAAGAAATATTCAAGGCCTCTGTTTTAGAGATATTAAGTTTGGAGTTACTGAAGAAACCAAATCTACAAAGTGCGTGGAAAAGACTGGGGAGGGAAATAAATGGCTGTTGAAAGTAAATTAGAAGGTATTACGTATATAAGGATAATTTGTGATGTGCGGAGGGAGTGCGAATGCCCAAGATTGAGTCATTAGCTCCTATGGCTCTCACAAGATGTTCCATTACTAAACCAAAGAGAAGAGGTGAGAGGGGACAACCTTCTCTAGTTCCATTTGATATGGGGAAGGGCAAAGAAACTGTACCATTCTCCAGGACAGACGCCGAAGGATGAGAATAGAGGGACATAATCTGAGTGAGGAACCGCGAACCCAAACCTATCTGCTTTAGGTTAAGACGGAGAAAACGCCAGTCAACGTGCCCGAACACCTTCTCGGTGTCAAATGAGAGGAGGCATGCCTTTAAGCCATGTTGCTTGATATAAGAGATAAGATGGATCGTTTTAAAAGTATTATCCCTAGATTCTTGACCAGGGACAAAGCCAACCTGATCGTGGTGGATCAAGGTTGGTAGGAAAGGGAAAAGGCGGTTCGCTAGAAGTTTAGCAAAAAGCTTAACGTCCAGATTAAGTAGAGAAATTGGGCGATAGCTACTGCAAAGAGAAGGGTCTTTGCCCGGCTTAGGGATAACTGAAATAGTGGAGGACAAAAAAACTGATGAAGGCACGTTCATATTGTTGATAACATTTAAAGCTTGGGCCAGGAGTGGGGCCAGTTGGGCGGCAAATGTTTTGTAAAATCGCAGGGTGAACCCGTCTGGACCCGGGCACTTACCAGTTTTCAGGGCCTTAATTGCCCCAATAACTTCCATATTTGAGAAGGGCTCCTCTAGATCCAACGCATCTTGGCCATCTAGAACAGTCAACACCGTCTCC